TCTGTGTGTTCATGAGTTTCGTCAATGTGGGCAAATCACAGTTCCCTGTGAAGTTTACTTCCTGTCTGTCTTCTTCTGTTGTTCCCTTTAGTGCTTACTTCCTGTCTGTTTTCTTCTGCTGTTCCCTTTAGTGTTTACTTCCTGTCTGTCTTCTTCTGCTGTTCCCTTTATTGTTTTTAGCTGTACCCTACCCCTCCGTTTGCGCGTTCACGCGGAGGGTCCGCCATATTGAGGGCTGTTCCAAACCAACGAGTGTGGAGCGGTGTGGAGGGGGAGTGGGCTATCAAGCCCTCAAACAGCGAGTCTGCAGCGGTGCTGACTTGAGACCGGTCTCTACCTGACCGGAGTCACGCTGTGTGTGTCCGTCAGGAAACACGCTGTTTACAAGTAGTTCCAGCAAACATCCACTGATAAACTGCGATGTTAACAACCTCATGATAACCTCATATGTTTTTAACTTAGGATCATACCTGTGTTTAGTCTAGAAAAAGGTAAATGTGTGCATTTTATTATCAAGTTGTGTATATTTACAGACTGTTGCAAAAACTAAGAAGCTTATAAACATCAGGTTTAAAACTAAAACACAATGAAATATGTTTGGAGTTTTATTTGAGTTATTAATTTACATTTTTTGTCTAAGAGATGCTGATTTGAAACCGTTGTTACATACAGTTACGGCATTTCCTGTTTCTGCCGGAGAGAGGGGAGGCCGTCCCAAAGCTTGCTGCTGTATTTACTCCCTCAATCTGACAGGAGGGAGCCTCGTTGAGCTGCGAGTGTGGCTACAGACGGAGTTCACTCCGTCACGGAGGGGTAGTGTCGAGGGAGTGGTTTGGGATTGGGCCTCTATGTTCCTAACACATACTCCTGTTTGAACAGCAGAGGGCGGCAGACTATATGAAACATCATGTCCAACAAAAGGCAGGGTAAGTGTAAGAAAAACCTTCATGGTTACACAACACACACTTTTATTACATACTTATATGAGTGTAACATATCTCCCGTTATAGCTTTACATTTCAGCATGAACGTATCTTCATGTATCAGAAAAATGTATTCCTACAAAAGTATTTTGTTAACATTCATATGATATATGTTATAGTATATGCTATTTAACTGTACTCTCTTTCCTTTCTGTCATTTAGAAGAATGTACTCCTTTCATTTAAATAAGTTTAAAGAACGACTAAAATTAGTTACTTAAGTAATAACTGATTTACATCAGTTTTGATTTGACTCAACTGTTAACTGAAAATACTGAATAGAATGTTAGGGGAACTCACAGACGTCTGTAATATGAGACGTCTCTGTCTGCTCTCTGTCACTTTTCAAATGTACATTTTCTTTATGCTAAATGTCTGTCTTTAGTCACTTTTACTGTTTCTTTATTAATTTTCACAAGAAGCCATGCTAACATGTACACTCCGAAGCAATTCCACATTTGTAGAGTCTCACAGAATCAATGCTTTCTTAAAAATGATGATCATCGAACCAATGGATATTGTCACTAAAATATTGTCACTAAAAATGATGAATGTATTAACATGCAACACACATAGAAAGGAAACTTATGCACTTGGAAGCACCTCTAAGTTAATAATATATATCATTTAAATGTAATAAATAAGAATTACACCTGCACTAAGTTAAAGAGATATTGCACCAAACGTTTGAACAATTGATAGTCCTAAATGAATCTGTCTCTAACATGCTGCCTGTCTCTGCTCCAGGTCCTGTCTTCACGCTGTCTGACAGATACACAGCAAGGACATGTGATCCCAAAAGATGAGTGTAAGACACCCCCCATCTGCTCTCCTGACAGCAACCACACCTCCAAAGAGCTAACAAAAAGATTCAAATATTTGAACAGGCCTGAGATCAGCTTGTCCTCTGTATTGACTGGAGGATAAGGCTGCTCTTTTTGTTGAGTGAGCTGATGAAAGACCAAACCAACAGCCCATCTTTCAACACTCTGATACCCAGTCTGTGACCAAGTAAATTTACTACAGATAAAAAAGAAGGTCCAGTGATTTCCCAGCAGGACTGTGAGATGAAGTCAAAATAAAGTGGTGTGTGTTGGTGCTGATGAAGGAGCAGTGTGGCTTGGTAATGGGGTTTAATGGTTTCTGTGGACACTGGAGCTCCATGGCAGAGAGGAAGTGTCGGGTATACAGCAGACATTCTTGGTTTAATGTGAACGCTGTTTGAAGGAAAGGAACATTTTTAAGAACTGCATCAATCTGGGTTCAAGATAAAAAAACACTGGATCATTCAGTGTTTTAATAAGTCAGTGTTTCAGTTTATTGTGGCTTTACAGTAACAGTCATGAGTGCTCACAGTTGATCTCAGCTTCATTTGTCCGACACAGTCCCTTCACATTTACACTTGGTATTAACAGGATCTGAATACTTTATCTAGATGATGACCTCTGATCCATGGTCTTTGTATTTGCTTTTGTTCGTTTTTCTTTGTAAGAATGTGGTCATTGGCCTACTTGATTACACTTATCTTCTAGATGTGGTCCGGTCCTTTTTTCCTAAAACATTGAAATGGCAGGTGTACATAAGGTAATAGAATGGGAGGGAACACAGGGATGTTAGCCTTTGCAGACCGTTTACATGCAAACAAACATAACACACTACAGGTGAGAGAAACCCCCCAAAAGCACAACAGCCTCTTTAAAAGATAAATAAAGTAGTCTAAAGAAGACATTATTTAGAACTGAAAGGTCACAAGACCTGTATCTCACTGTCATGGAGATTATGTGAGGGTCCTAGGGGTCAGGAGAACTATGAACCCATAAAGCACTAATAATGAAAAAAGGCTAGCCACACATGGACTGAAACACAAAAGAGTTGGACAAAGAGAACATTGATGTGAGTTTGGCTAACTGAAGCTGTTCTGAGTGCAAGATGAGGATGTGGAGTCTGATCAATGAGCAGCTGAAGTAAAATGTTAGACTTTAACACCAGATAATAGCCTAACCAGTCTCACAAATATAACACTATACTGTGCACGTTAATAGTTGAAAATAATGTAAACCCATCCTCACACTAACTGTTAATCTCCTGCTTATAGCAAATAATATCAATCTACTGTGAAGTAACGGCACCACATGCAGTCACATGACTTCTGACGATGCCTGCTGTTCACGTTCACCCGCAGGTATATAATGCTAGCATTCTGTCACTTAACTTCGTGAACACTGACAACGTTTTTGGAATTGCTAACAACTTAAAATACGCTAGCTAGCTATCTCCTAACTAGTAAGCAACCTACAGCAGCGGTAAATCATCTGCCTAATCGTAGCTAAAGCACACAATACTGTTGAGATGTCAGAAAGTAAATTCTATGCACTTTACACGCTCAAATGTAAAGAACTGTCAAGTTTCTCTCATTGGTAAAGACTAGCAACAACTAAACAGCTGATAACACACAACTAGTGTGAGTATCTCTGTGTGTATCTCTCATGTTCCTGTCAATTTGTATGCATGCATGTAAAACTGTAACTACAGTAAGCAGATAAACTACACTGAGCACTGAATAGTACTCTGCGTCTTTTCTTGTTGTAAATACTGTCTCTAGGAGGAGAGCTAGTTAGCTGTTACACTGAAACAGATTTCACATAACTGTATTAGGTTGGTTGAACACAATAATATAACGTTGAACCGAATATTTTGTATTTAAAGTTAATATTATTGCTTTTAACTAACCTAATACAGTTACAGTATGTGAAATTTGTTGACATATTACATTTCATCAAAGTCAATGTTTCAGTTTTCTCAGTGTGGCAGCTTCTCAGTGTCTCGCAAGCCTGGGGGCTCACTGGACCGAAGTTGAATCCCCCTGGGCCTAAGAATCGAGGATTTTTGTATTTTGTATTTTTAACTAAACACAAGTAACAACTCTGAATCTCATGGTGTAGTTTGTGTAAAGCTGGTTGAAAGAAAGCGACAGTGTCACATTGAGTATGAAGAGTGTCTCCTTCTGAACAGCAAACAGAGGTTTGTACAAGTTTGAGCATTTGAACCAGGAACCAGGAATAGCAGAGGACAAGAGCAGGGTCGCAGGTGAGATTTTTTAAATGGGGGGGACGAAACAGAGAAATTATTTTCCCGATATTTACTTACTATTTGTTTTATTATGTGTTTTACAATCATAACATTAACCCCTGGGTGGGCACATCCAAATGATCTAAGATGATTTAATTACAACGATCATATGAACAAATGTATATATTGAAAAAACAAAAAAAATAGGGGGACGGATCAGCATCCCCCCGTCCCCCCCACTATCTGCGCCCCTGGACAAGAGTAACCAAGAGTTTAATGTGGTTCTAATGTGAGCTGCAGGGCATCCGATGACCAAACAGCTGCGGATTCAAGTGTTGCGCTCTTTAGCCCCCCAGGAGTGGAACTGAACATTCAAACTGACATGTCATTAACAACGGTCTGTGTACATGTGGATAAGCTTTATAGTCTCAAGACATTGAATACTATAAAGGGGAACAAATCCCATTATAAAATAGGCTAGTCATTTGGAATACATCTCCTTGAAAAGTTTCTATACAACCTTCATTGCTCGAGCATATAACATCTAAAAAGGCTCCATTGGACAAATGACTTGTCAAATGGCTCATAAAATGTAATAATGCGGCATGTACAGTATTACAACAGTGTTACAGTATTATAGTGTTACAGTGTTACAGTGTTAAATGAGGTTTACTGTTTGGGGGCCACCACAGAAATAGTCTCATTCAGGTAACACTCGGAATCAAATGTTGGTTGAGTTTATTATTTATTATTTATTTCCCTTTTAGATTTAATGATTCATAACAAAATATTTGAATGTTCTAAATACAGTGTGTAAAATGTGATGTACGCAGCAGAGTACATACGTGTGTGTGTGTTGAGTGTGTAAATGTGTGTGTGTGTGTGTGTGTGTGTGTGTGTGTGTGTGCACACATGTGTTTGTGAAGTCTCCTATCTTGTAATCAGGACACAGACACGTACAGTAATATTGAAACAGTACACACACAACCGCATTGAGGATGTTACACACACATACACACAATAGTTATGCAGAAAGGAAACACCCACACACACGAACACAAGCACTCAGTGAAGATGTAAGTCAGCAGTCTCTCTGTCCTCCTTCAGTCTGAAGCTGGTCCAATTTCTCTCTCCCTGTGTGTGTTCCTCTCTCCACCTCTTCATCCCTCTCTCCTGTAATGAGAGAGAAAAATTGATCAGATCCAAAAAGAGAAAAGTTAAACCAGATGTGTCCTGAGTGAATGGGGAGCTTGTATTGCTCCCTGTTTCTGAATATTATAAAAAAAGCTGTTAAAGAGAAACGTGTTGAGCTGCGCTGTACAAGTTGATCACATTTCCATCTGCAGTACCATATAACACAACACAACTGGGCCCAGCATGAATAAGGACTGAATGGATGGATGGCTCTAAAAAAGGCTGGGATTCAAAATTATTTTTTTATTTAGCCAGGTGTGCTTGGTTATCACTGTTGAAGCTGCAGACAATGTGGCTGCAGACAACTGGCTGCAAAAACAAACAAAAAACATTATATAGGGAAATCATTCTTTAAATGACTTCAATCATTTCCTATAGGCTTTACATTTAACCTCCAACACATCAAGCACAAGGTTAAAATAATCATTCATCTGAAAATCCACTATAGTGTTTAAGCAATTTTTATAGTTCCAGTCGTGTTGTCCATTATAGTCGAGATAAAATAAAGATTGAATAAAGTAGTGAAACAAACAGATTCAGACAAATGTCTCTGGAAAGGCACTGTCTGAGTAGAATCTGATCCTCTTCAGAGATCTGATTCATCATCTTCACATGAGGAAGTTGCCAAGTCTCTGTAACAATGTCTGCTTTGATTAGAAACCCTTCATCTCCACGACCAGCAGCACGGCTTAATGCTACTGTGGCTCTGTCCACTTTGGTCCAGACTGAAGTGTTTCAACAAAAATGTAATTTAATTAAAATATCATTTCAACAAGTGAATTTGGAATGTATACCGATTTTCACTAAGAATTTAGTGATCGGTCTAATTTTCCTCTGACGCCACAATAAGGAATAGGTTTGAGGAGTTTTTAGATGATCCTACGGTGGCCGACTCGACTCTTGCAGCGTTTTGTATTTGCAGTGTTTGGTTCATGCAGCTTTTAGTAAACGCTGCGCATGTTTCCTCAAGTTTGTGAAGATGTTTCGTCATCTTATGTGTTTTGGCACATTTGTGTTAATTTGTGTTTCCTAATGGAAATATTTTACAACACGCCACTTTTACTGTTGGTACTTTAAGTATATTTTGATGCTAATAGTTTTCTACTTTTACTTGAGTAACAGATCAGCATCAGATTTCATTGTAAACAATAGTCCTCTGTTCCTTCTCTCTTTTCATGCCCTCCTTAGCCTCCTCCTCTTTTATCCCTCTGGCATTCTCACTTCCATTCCCCACAGTAACCCACCCCCGCACCCCCCAGTTCACACACCTCACTCTGTTCCCTCTCAGTTCCTGTTCTCGTCCCTCAGGATTTCATCTCAAGTATTCAGTGGTGGCACAGGGTTATGAAAATCACTTCTGTTTGACCTCTACAGGGTAAAAACTGTTTAGTGTTGGAACTATCTATTTTTAGGGAGACCTTGATAAATGATTTAATAAAGTAAACCAGAGCAGCTGCATAACTCATTGTGTGATCTAAACTTCTTAAATACCTGATTGCATACACGATATTAGGACTAAAACAAATCCTGTATTTTATTGGCTATAACAATCCTACACACACACACACACACACACACACACACACACACACACACACACACACACACACACACACACACACACACACACACACACACACACACACACACACACACACCAACCCAGTCTCATGGCATTTCGTGTTCACCAACACGATTTTTAATCTATTGATTCGTGTTCACCAACACCATTTTCTCCTTTTTTTCGTGTTGCACAGCACGATTTTAAAAGCAATGTATTTCTACTGGTAATGTGTTTCGTGCCTGCAGCACGTCTTTTTCTCCGGTCGGGTCGTGGAAGACCGGAAGCTGTGTGGTTCATAAAAGCATGTTCTTACTCAATATCAAGCCACAATTATTGCTTTTATTTTAAATCGTATAATTTCGGACTTTTGTTGCCGTCTGTGAGGAAAATAAATGGGGCTCAGAACACTGAAATCTGTATTTTTAAATCTTTTTTTCCTTCTAATTTGTTATT